ATATAGATACACACACATACACACACAAATATATAGACATACACAAATATACACACACACACGTATATACGTATAGATACACACACATACACAAATATACACACACACGTATATACGTATAGATACACACACACAAATATACACACACACGTATATACGTATAGATACATACACACACACATAGATACACACATACACACACAAATATATAGATACACACACATACACACACACATAGATACACACACATATAGATACACACACATACACATATATAGATACACACACACATACACACACACATAGATACACACACATACAGATACACACACATACACATATATAGATACACACACACATACACACACACATAGATACACACACATACACATATATAGATACACACATACACACACACATATATAGATACACACACACAGATAGATACACACACAGATAGATACATATAGATACACACACATACACACACACAGATAGATACATATAGATACACACACAAATATATAAATACACACACATATATAGATATAGATACACACAAATATATAAATACACACATACACACACATATATAGATATAGATACACACACAAATATATAAAAACACACACACATATACAGATATAGATACACACACATATATATAGATACATACATACATACACACATACAGATATAGATACACACACGCAGATATAGATACATACATACACACATATGTATATAGATACACACATATATATAGATACACACATACATACACACATATGTATAGATATAGATACACACACACATATATAGGTATAGATACACACACATATACACATACATGCACATATACACCGCCCCCCCCATATATATGAATGTATTTATTTAAGAAGAAGTTTTGCACGTGGAATTCAGGGCTTGGAGAGTGGAATAATCTGCAGGTCCTTGGCAGCACATCTGTGACTATTTGCATATACGGGGGAAAGCTTTTGTTGATCTAGTGTACCCTTGTAATCACTGCAGGGCTTTGAAAAGCCAGAGACTCTTCTTGCACCCAGCTCCCCAGCAAGTCTTAACGAGTACAGAGCAGTTATGTTTTGGGCAGAGTCCACTCAGCCTTGGTCGTGAGTCAGTTGTTCAGAGCATATGGCTTTGTTTTACAGCGTTCTCTACGGCAACATGATGTCACTTTTTTGCCATTTCCATGGGTCAGCCGCAGAAAAGATGCAGCTGTATCTCTGCTCCAGCTGAACTACCATCCCAAAGGCAGAGCCTTTCATTAGCACTCCACAGAGGGTGATTTCGGCATCCTCCTCCTCCTGCTCCTCATCGCCCACGTTTCAAGAGAAGCAGAATTTTGTTCTCTTCTGAACTGTTGGGCTGCGAGTGATCAAGAAGTCAAAAAGTAAGATATTCAGTTTTTGGCGCGTGGTGATAAAGGCGGACTTGCTCCTGGATGGCATGGCAGCTAACCAGATGCAAACAAGCACGCCCTCTGCTTTACTACAGAAGGAAACACAGAAGACATGCAATCCTCATGTCAACTCCTGGGCTTCTTAGGACTCGACCCACACCTCGAAATGGGAGAGGTACCACGCATAGCTCAATCCTGCTGCGTGGACAATCATCCTGGTGCGCTCATGCTGTTTATTTTAAACCTGCTCTTAACTGATTTAAACTCAATCCAAAACAGGCTAGTTTTAGAGTGAAGCACGAGTATCC